CGCCGTCGCAACCTGCACCACGTGACCAACGGGGCTGGTTGCTATGTCAGTGCACCACTCTGTCTGTGTTGATGGTTTCAAAACCGATTCATCGTGCATGTTGACGACTTGCCATACAGGGGGGCATTTAAAACACTGGGATTCTGTCAAAAAATGATCATCAGTAAATGCTTTAAATAATATTAGCAGACAGCCGTACTAATTACCCAGCTTATATCAGGTTGTTGTGTTATCCTGTAAAGAAATCAGCAAAGTAGGACAATAGTAAATTACAACTAAATTTAGAGCGTGTTTATTAAAATATTTTGTGCGAAAACAACCTCTCATTGTTTTCTAACAGCAGCTGATACGATGCTTGACTTAAAAACAACCTTTCGGATCAGGTTATTTATATTTATAAATATATAAACTGTGATATATTTAATAAAGATTAAACCAGTAATCTATACTGATCTATTGTCGTGATCAACAGCATGTTGACAAAAGCCTGCACAATATTGCCTTAAAAGAAACATTTGTTTCAGGTTCCATAATCATATCTGATTGTTGTAGTGATATTTATATGGGTTTAGACTAAGTTACATATCTTTATATAATTGTTACACTGTCACTAATAATGTACAATTGTGTAATTACACAATTAAAAGCGTACATCTGAGAAACTTTTTGTATAAGGGCATTTTCTTCTGATTCCTATGGTGAAAATCAGCACACATCTACAATGCATGTTCATTTGTATTTCTCATTTTGAAGAGTGGCTAATGGAAACGTGCTTCTGTGTCATGTTATATTTATACCTCATGGAAAAAGAGAAGTCAAGAATGACCAATTAATTGTTCCGCAACACTCTGATTAGCCTGAAAAGTTTATTTTATGATAAATGATTTACAAGACCTTTGTTTTCCTTTCCTTTCCTTTTCTTTTTGTGGAGGACATAAGTATTTCAAGCTGCTAATAACCTACCCAACAAAACCCATGAAGTGCAGCATTTTCGCTTATTTGTTTTTACTGCCGTGGTTTCTTGCGTCTGCTTTTCTTTTTGCCATTTCCTCAAGAAAAGCCTGATCTTGAGATCAATACAAAAATCCATCAAGCATCCCCCTCAGTTTAAAGGTCAACTGACACAAAAACCTAAAGCTCTTTACCCATTAATTTTTTTCTAACTTCATTTAATAGATCCACATGCTAGCTTCATTATCAGATATGTAATCATTTAAAAATACTGTGCCTTATTTAAATAAATTCAAACGCAAAAAGAGTAAACTTGGTGTGTTTTTTTTTTTGTTTCGCTTGTCAAATTAGATTAAACACACCATTAAATACATGTAATTGCTGTTTACTTGTTTGAACTCAGACCTGAATATTATTGTTCAATATAGCAAAAGGTCTGGGCAAGCAGTCTGTGCATATAGTTGAAACTCCAGCGCCCCCATCAGGCTATGGTTAGTAAGTCAATGATTCTTCAACATAGCATCTGAAAAATATAACCCTGGAAAAAACAACCAAGACTTTGGTTTCCCAATTCAGCCAATTCATCTTAAAGAAGATGAATTAGCAAAATGTTTGTACCTTTTTTAAATTTAGCACTTTGTAGTCAACTATTCTGAGCTTAAGTATTTTTCTTTACTTTGAATTAATCTGGAAAGTATTTTTCATTTAAACTATTTTGAAGCAGCATTTGTACAGCTTTCTCTTTGTGGGTGTACATTCCAGATTCTGATTAGACTTAGATAAACATTTTGTCAATAACTGTACTGTTTGGTTTAGTTGCTGTTTTACTGAAGTGATTTATCCAGCTTTAACTAGTGAATCACATGGCAAATGTTTATTACATTATTAATTTATCACCACTGAAATCTGCAATTTAACACTATGAAGTGACTAACTTAAATATTTATTTTTCTTTTTGCAGAATAATTCAATGTCACTTAGACTGGATGGAGAATGACTGCTTTGTTACAGATTATAAAGAGTTAGGTATGAACTTTGACTAGGCCAATGTTCGAGCTTAACCATTCCTTTGTAGCTCTGGTTATATGGTTTAGAGATGTTATCCTGCTCAAAGGTGAACCTTTCCTCAAGTCCGGGATTACTCTGCCTTCAGCTCCACTCATCTTCCAATCCACTCTGTCCAATGTGTTTTCAGGGTAATGAAGTGTCAGTTCTTTGACACACAACACATTTTGGTCTCATCTGACCATACCATCTTCTTCCTCAAAGTCTATATTTGTTGCAACTTTTGCTTGTCCTGTTGACAGATTCTCCCAGCTGATGCTGCAGCTTCAGAGATACCACAAGCTGCTTCTCTTGAAATATTGCTTTACAACCAAACCCTGCTCTAAACATCTCTACATCTTGATTTCTCGCTTCTCTGGTGTTTTTTTTTTTTTTTTTTTTTGATGTTTGTCCTCTAATGTGAAATAACTACAATGACTTATAAAGCCTTTACAGAGCAGCTCTGTATATCCTGTTTAAATTACACATAGTTGGACTCATTTTAATTAATAGCTCATTTCTGAAACCAATTTGTAACACTGGATTTCTTTCAGATGTATCAGATTAAAGAGGGCTGAACATTAAAGTCTAAAGAAGATACTTTTCATTCCATTTCATTTGTTATATTCTACATTGTGGTGGTCCATCACATAAAATCTCAATAAAAGCCGCTGCAGTTTGCGGAAGAAACTTAACTGTGAAAAGCTTCAAAGGGCATAAATACTTCTGCAAGCAACACAATAAAGTTCTCCAGAACTTCAGACAGCAAACGATGCTAAGAGCCTGGCTGATGCCTTCTGTTTATGTTGCAAACTGTCAATTTAGATTTAGATTGTAACAGATTGTTGGTGCTCAGTTCAAGGCTGATGCTTTACAGTAACCATTAGGGTTGCATGTAATGCTGATGCAATTAATCATCACTGAGTTGTGCATTGCATGAGCTGACTTCAGTCTGAGCTTTATCTTACACAGTGAAATCATAGGCAAATGTGCCTCCAAGTAGGAGTGGATTTGAGTGTAAGGCACTATTAAAGCACAGATGTGTTGGCTAGTGAGTTAATACCGCAGACACATCTGGGGAATAACAAAAAAACAACAAAAAATCAATGTAAAGCTAATGAGGATTCCAAAACTTCTGAAACCCGTTAAATCTTCCCGCCTCTGATATAACATACATCCCGCTATTGTTATTTGTCAAGGGAAAAGCAGGATAGCCCTGCTAATGTACAGATTTTAAAGCAAACGTGTCACCGAACAGCTAAAGTCAAGTCTGTTGAGTGAAGCTAACTCAATTTACTGTGACAAAATAGCCATGTATGGAGAAGCCAAAACAATTCAAGTGGAAGAGCGATGGTTTATACTTACGCCAACCTAAGTGTATCTCTAATTTCAAGAGATAGCAGGACATTTTGTCCAACTAACAACCAAGTTACTGTATGCTAATGTTGCCTTCACTGTCAAACCAGTTACAGTCGGCATATGCTCTGATCCTCTCTAACATCACCACGAGCACCGCGTATAACCACGTTGTGGATAAAAAAAAAAATCCGTCTCATTTTGCGAGTCAAAACGAATCACAGATTTAAAAAAATCAACATTGCAAATCTTACTCACCGCTTAACTCCGATCCACAGATTTCAATGCGTTAAAAAAGAAAGCTGTTTTCCGGCAGAGCAGCCCCACCCTCAAACGCTCGTAAACGAAGAACGTAGAGCTGGAAACTGATTGGATAGCGTTTCATCGGCGTCGCAGTTGATTGGTCCGTCGATAACATCTGTTGTTGTATTGGCCAATGGCGTCCTCATGCGTTGGTCATTCACAACATACGGCATGTCTGTCTTCTTGCTTTCACGCATATTGAAAACATTTTTTATCTACATATTTGCTATCAAGAAAAAGTTTACAAAAAAGCACTTCAAAATAAATACTTTTAAATTTATAAAGCAAAGCACATAAAAGATCTCAGTTGCACTAAACCACTGTACAAGGCAAAATGTTATGAAAAGCTAATTAAAGAAAGCGTTAAACAGCGACCGATAAATAATGTTCTAACTTATGACTTAAATATTATGAACACTTTTAATTAATTTTTTTTTCAAATGCGTAATATTTAAAATGTTTAAATGAACTATTAAGTTTGATGATTTGTTAAAAGCCAAATGTGATTACAGCACCTTCATGTAAAACTACTGAAATACAACCATCTGCGAGAACAAGTCTCAAATAAAATAAACACAATTAAAAATCTATCTAGATATTAGAAAGTTATGTCTAAGTTATATTACTATTATTGTTACATCACATAATAGCAATACATTTTATATTGGTCAGAGAAGAAATATGAAGCGTTCAGTACAGTTATCTAAAAATAATTAGCATCCATTTGAGGATAAGTGGCCGTATCATAAAGGTAATTTAATAAAAGAAAAATGCACAAAACATATAATACATATCTTTTAAAGTATCTTCAAGTCTAGACCTTACCATAACCAGTGAAAAACACTGAAATAGGTCCCAACCAGGTTTGGTATTTTCATTTATTTATCATTTAACTTTTATTTATTAACTTTTGATTATTGAAATCTTCTACATATATTTTAAATGGAGTTTATAAAATAGTGCAACTTTTTTACAGTGCAGGGCCTTGTGTAGTGCTTATAGCTCTACTTTAAGGAAGTCATTGCAACGTATAAATTTACACTTTGGGTTAAAAAGACAGAAATAAATCTACTGTAAAAGAATCGGCCATTGAAACAACTGCACTTCTCTTGTGTCAGCATTGGATGGCAGTATTGTACTTGAACGTGGACAAGGAAACCTTTAAAGGAACTGTTATGGCTGATTTACATCTGACAAAGTAGAAACTATGTGGAAAGGTTAAACAATGACCACACGATGAGAAAGATAATGAAGTAATAGGGACAAGTATTTGTTGAGGGAAAAGAAAGAATATAAACTGTTTTCACTTCTGTTAAACTGCAAATGGGAAATACAATAAGGCCAAAAATGATAATTGTACATTTTATTACTGCCCAAGTCATGAAGATAACAACTCAGTATATTCACAGAGCTATGAGATTCTGTTTCAGATGACTGCATTTATGTTTCTTCACATGGTGAGTCTTGGTGATGAATTATAGACAATAGGTTGAGGGTAGCCAACGGTGCATTTATGACAGATAATAAATGTGCAGAGTCAAACCGAGCCAATTGAAGTGTGCCATTCTGAAATGGAAAAGGAGAAAGGAGAGTTCATAGGCAAAAAGTTTGATATTGTGTCAACACTTTATTATGCATCACGACCATGCAAAAAAGCACTGCTATGAACTTGCTTGATAGTTAAAAGAAAAAAAAAAAATCAAGCTAGATATATTTCACACATTTATGGTTTTAAATGGGTATGCCATTTTTCCTAAAGTGGCAGGGCAATATTTTTTTACATGCACACTCACAAAGACTGTGTTGATGTGCAAGCCACATTGAGGTTTGTGGGAGTAATGACACTGACTCAGAGAAAGGGAGTAATCTATGATTAATACTTGGCTAAATTTGTTTACCTAATAGTGCTGCATTAATTTGGCTCCCTCTTGTAGTATCTCCAGCTACAGGGCAATTCTCTGTGAAAAATTAACCTTTTATAAGAATTTTCTACAAACTGGTTTGGATTGCTTCATTGATTTGTGCTGGTACAACTGACACCTTTAAGTGTTTGTTTTGACAAGGTACTATGTCAGCTTGAGAGCTGTGCATGTGCAGAAGTGAGCTGACTGAGCTTTCTAAAGCTTCCAAAACCCGTCTAATAACAAACATAAGACCTTAAATCTCTGGCAAGTTGATGGGGGAAAAAATGTGGATGAAGGACAACAGACAATTTGGTAAACAAATGGCTTGGGATTTTCAGATCCCATGCTGGGAACTATTGCCTCTTTGAAATGAACCTGGAAATCAATCAACACATGAACAATGTAAAAATATTAGGTCTTCAGAACTCTAACCTGGCTGAAAATAGATTTCATTTTTACCCAGTTCAAACTGTTTCTAACCATCTTTCAGATAGTATAATAAAATAAAGACTCTATAGAGGGGCAGGCATAAAACAAAAATGACTACACTGCCAAAAGGAATGTGCAGTCCTGGACACATATTTTGTGTCCTTAGATAGGTTTTCTGCATTGATCAAATACACAAAGTTAATTTGTGTTAGTGTTATTTTGGAAGCTTCTTGTGAGATAATCATCTATGTTTGTTACCAAAATGCAAACACAGTAAAATTCCAAAGACATCTGAATTATGTTCAACCTTCCAACAGTAGCTGGTTTTAAACTTTCACTCATTTCAATTATGATTTGTACATCACTAAAAATAATTTCAGTTTATATTCAATAAAATACAATTCAATTTTTACACAAATAATTTTCTGGCTGCAAAAGAAAACTTAACATAAATATTTGACTCTAACCAGTTTGAAGATACTTGATGGCATCCAAAGAATTCTCTTGTAATTTCCATTTCTACCATTTAAATAAGTGTGTGCCATTGGTTAAAAACTTTAAATGTGACCTTATGCTTTGGTAATTTCGCACTCCTTAATTTGGGTCTGGATTGACACGGATAACGAATACGAGGTAAAGCAAGTCATGCCCCCTATGCCGCTGTGGGATCTAGTCTGTTTTAAGTATCCAAGTCCCTGGAATACTATCCTAAACTCTTTGAAATACCAGGACAGTTTAAAAAAAACTTTGCTAGTCTTTGCCAAATGGGTCATCACAGACTTAGTAGTGATCCAAAACATAAGGCTAATTTCACCCAGAAATAGTTCACCAGAACAAAACTCAAGCTTGTTCAAATGGCCATCTCCTTACAGATCTAATTCTTTCAGAAAAACAGTTGGTAAAAGAAAAAACAGAGGAGTGAAAGATAAGGCCACAGATGCTCAATAAATGAGACATTGTGCAAAGAGGAAAGGTAATTCAAACATTAGAGGCCAAAATTATGAAACCAGTGATTTTGTTCAAAACGAGTACTTCATAATTTAGAATTGCTTTTCCATAGAATAAATATATCCAAATTAATCTGTTTTATCAATTGTTTTAATGTGAGAATATATCTTTTCAATAAAATCTGGATTTATTAGAATACATGTTAACATCTTCACCAGGGACGAAATAAAGGGGACTATATTTGCAGAACCACACCAGGGTTTCATTGAGGTTAAGCTCAACCAGCATCAATGTACTTGTGTTTTGGCATATAGGCTAGATGCTGTATTGTCAAGTACTGTAGAAGAACTGCAATGGGAGGTCAAGCAAACAGCTAAGGCAGTGTGCATCACTGTTACTTATTCACTAACTAAAACATTTACATAACCCACGTGTTAAAAAAAAACTAAACACAAAAATGAGCAGAAATACATCTACAAGTAGCAACAAAAAGAAATGTATGAAATAGTGCTAAATTTGTTCACGTATCTCGACCAGAATAATAGATAAAAAATATTTCGGATGTAAGCAGTTTATACCATTATACACTCTCATGTTATGACTTAAAAATCAGGTGAGAAATTTACACGTAGGCTTGGTTCTTTGTGTCCAAAAACATGAGATTTTGAAAGAAAGTGGTTCACCACCTTGTACTTACAGTGTACGGCTTCAAAACAACTAAAGAAGAAAACTAAACAAAAGTTTGGAAATAACTGTGTTTTTATGGCACCTGCGGTGTAATAGAAAGCTCAGTATTTAATCTGTTCACACCAGCTCACAGTATTACCTTAAATATGTGCTTGGATAAAAAATATAGCTTTACATAAATGTAGTATTTCTATGGTTGGGTTTAGCGCAGGTTTAATTCTTCATGTCTTCAATGCTGCATGTCTTCGGCCCAGTGTTGCTTCTTCCAGTGTCTTCTACTATTGTTGCTTACCTGCAGAAAAAAAAACATGTGTTGCAAAAGCATGTTGATGATATTTGAGATATCATAGATGTATGTAAATAGAATTCCCAATAGTATTCCCAATCTCTTGGAGGAAATGGTTGCAATGCAACAAAAGTAGTGAAAAAAAAAAACTGAAATAATTTTCTTTCCTCCCACTTCGGTCTTCTGTGGTCCTTAGATGGAAATAAAATTTAAACTTTATATATAAAAGCATGGCCATCTTTAAATGCACCACTCAGTGCAGTACAGTCTTTTTTGGGTAGAATTTTGTATTTTTTTTAAGTTCCAGAGCTCTGAAGGTTAGCACTTCTATCTGATGAAGTCTTTCCACACAACTTACCAGTCATCTGGACTTTCACAATCACTGCTCCATTGTCACCTGGACAACCAATAAACATACGGCGAGTTAAAACAAACTTAGCGATCCAAAGCCACATTATCTAGAACCAGAACTTACCAAGCACGTTTTGTCTGTCTCTTGCCTGTGCTTTACCAGCTCCTCCAACTTGAGCTCCTCTTCTAGCTGCTGGTCCAGATTGTTTTCAAAAGTTTCTTCTTCTGCAGCTCTAGTAGGTCTGATACAAGAGCAACAAAAAGTAAGTCTCACCTTGAGCAACTTCGACACAACACCGCAATAAACTTGTGCATGAACACGTTTCAAATCCTGATGATACAAAGACTCTTTAGATACAGTAGCTAGGATAGCTACTGATAAATACCTTGGTTTATAAGTGAAGTAAAAATCTGAGGAAGCTGCAGCCATTAGGTCACACTGTCCAAAGTCTGAATCCAAGAGGCTCTCTGTCTCACTACCACCTTCTGTGGAATGAAGCAAATTTAAAAAGCTGTTGTCTGGAAAATAATTGTTTCTGTCCCATCTATTTCTACCTGAATTGAGCTCCTTCACAAGTGATGACATAGTATTGGTTATGGAGTCAGCAGCAATGAGAAGGTCGTTCCTCAAATTTCTCCTGGGACCTTTAAAAAAAATTCCAAATTGTTTTAAAAGTGACAACACAGTGCATTCAAGAGACAACATGAGGGCTGTGCTGTGTTACCCTGAGCGAAGGCCTCTTGAACATCCCCTCCCACGCCCATGAGTGAGTCCTGAGGTGTGTGAGTCGGAGTGGTGCCAGCAGAGTCCGAGTGGATTGGCGTGGGGATCGGCCGGCTGATGGTGTGGCTGGGAGAAGAGCGTGGCGAGCCGGGACCCTGAGTCTGCAGAGAATACAGGCTGATTTAAAGCTGTGGCCCAGTGCTAATAGAAAACTCACTTAATTGCAACAAAGTCACAGGAAAACTTTTAATGAGAAAGCAACACAAAGTATTTTTCAACAATTCTTGTTGTTTTATTTATTTAAGCTTTTTGAAAAGCAAGAACCAAAGCAAATATCACACATGCAAGATATGTGAAGCAGTAAAGATGCATTTACTGTTAGGTCAGACCAAAATGTTTACATCTGAATTGTTTCTGAATTGTCTGAATTGTTTGCCAGGATTAGCATAAAATCATAATTGTGAAGTGGAAGGAAAATTGTGCAGATGTTTCTTTTCTTTTACAAAAAGCCTGAAAAGTGAGGCATTCATAAGTGATCACTCCACTTTTCTCTGATATGCGCAAATAAATTTCAGTGCAAACAGGTGCCTTCAAAGTTACCTAATCAGTAAATAGAATCCACCTTTACATTGTCTCATGTCATGCAGCTGTACAATGAAGGCTACAGAAGTTTGTTAGAAAATATTATTGATTAAGCTGCATCATCAGTACCAAAGAACCAGCAGACAGGTGAAAAATAAAGTGTAGGAGAAATTAGTAGCAGGGTTAGGTTATAAAACAATATGTCAAGCTCCCAGCATCTCAGAAAATGTACTAATCCATTACTTGAAGGTGCTTACTCTGGAGGAGCTGCAGAGATCCCCAGCTCAGATAGGAAAATATAATAATAGGTCATTTGTCAAGCCATCCACAAATGTAAAAAAAAAAAAAAAAAAAAAGACAACAACAAAAAAGCACCAAAAAACTCCCCAAAAACTTTAAAAAGTAGTTTGTAAAGTATTCCACAATGCGTATAGGGAGCCACAGCAAACCTATGGAAGAAGGTGCCCAGGTCATGAGTATAAAGTTGAGCATTTTAGCTTACATGCATTAAGCTAAGCAGTGAAAAACTGAACATCATCATCCTCTGTGTCACTGCGGGAATGCTGTAGCAGCTATTGTAGAACCATTTAGATATAAAGGTATTCATGTCTTAGAATGGAGTCAATGTCAATGCTCTTCAAAGTATGGGCTCTCTGGGGCTTCACTTTTCAAGTTTTTTTCTTCTGCTTTACAAATTGGTCTGTCACGAAGCATCAATTTAAATCCTCTAAAGTTAGCAACAAAAGATAGAAACCCTTTATACCTAGATTCAGATAAATTACAAAATGACTTTGCTTGAAGCAAAACTAAACTAATCAAAATGTCAGGGTAGAAATGTATCCATCACACACAAGCATGCAGGGAGACTTTTTTCACTTACACTTGCTTGTTTCTGTTCTTCTTCTAGCTAAAAAAAAGCCACAATAATTTAAAGTTTATAAAACACTAATTAGATCTTTAAAAATAATTTGATCTGTTTTTCCACAAAGTTGTGGCCAGCATATGGCTTCCTCATGCAAGTTTAATGAATTAACATTGATCCGTTAAGGCTAATTAGATTGATATCCGCTCCACTTAAGCCAGTGCAGGGAGTGGTTTATGTGGGCTTTGAAAATCTCCAGCACTCTTGTGGGAAGAAACCAAACCACAGATTGTTAGAACGAAGGTTGTTTATTTTATCATGCAAAGTTTGAAGGTTTGCAATGTGCAACTCAATATCACCTAAAACAAATGTTTTAAGGTGATAATAAGAAATTTTGAGAAATTTCTGTCTTGGTGCAGACAGTTAACATAAAAGCTCAATGTGAGTATAAGAGACGCATTTGTTGAAGATATCTGCTGAAGATTTTTTAACATCACATTGATTTTTGAGGTGCTGTAAGTTTAATATTCAAAAGCTTGGGGAAACTGTAATAAAAGGCAAAAAAAAAAAAAAAAAAAGAAAAAAAAAGGTCCATATTTGTACAGTATTTTAGCTCGTCCAGAGGACTCCAAAGCACTTTGTACTACATTCAGTCATTCACAAATATATTCTGGGAATATTTATTTTCTTAAAGGTTTATCCATGCTTTTCCAGACATAGAAGATCCTTAAGCCTATATACTATCTATAAACTTTCTCACTTGCATAGGAACTCAGCACTTAGTTAAAAAAAGACAGAGGATACAGTTTGTACTCCCCCAGTGAACACAAAGTCATCTAAACTGCATTCTGTTTTTGGCCACACTGCAGTGCTCTCAAATAGATGACAGGCAACATCTGTAGTACCTTGAGAAGCATCATTAGCTGCTCCAGCTGCACCATGAGCTCCCTGCGACTCTCCTGCAGAGTAGACATTCTTTGTTCGAGCTCATCTTTGCGTTGCCTAACAAAAGACACAAGTTATGAGAAAACACGATGTTCGATCAATAGGAATGAAAAGACAACATCTGCAGATGCCGACACATCCTCTGAATTTACATTTTGTACATGATTTCCTTAGCATCCTCAGCGGAACTGTGCCTCTCTTGCAAGTACTGGTTTGTCTGAAGAAGTTACCTGAGAAGTCGCAGTTCGGCGAGGAGGGTGGGGTTTTGTTGGCCCCTGTCTGGAGGCGGCTGGGAAGCCTCCTCATGCTGAAGACGCAGTCTCTGGATTTCCTGCAGGATTTCTCTGGAGTCGGCACAAACACATCGCTTTTTTATTTTCTGTTCTTAAGGAGCACAATGCGCATTTTGTCTCTGTGCTGAACACATTTTAGAAGTTCTACAATTTGACTGAGCAAGTGTGTTTTACTTTTTCTCACTAGGGGGCAGCAGAAACATTCAGTAACAATGTTTTCTTTTAGCTGTTCAGAGATATCCAAAAGCTGCACAGAGCTGCTTTATAGTATTCATGGACTAGTTGCTTTGGATGCAGAGGAGGTTGATCAAGAAAGTTTTTCTTTTCCCAGAAGAAAGAGTAATTATTTTAAACACAGACCAAATCAGCAACATTTTAAGTTTATGACCTGCAAACACCATTTCACATCGTCACAAAGACTGGCTTAAAGAATAAAGTGTTCCAGACAGCCTCGTTGGCCAAGTATTAAACACATTTCCATTTCCTTATGGAAAACTGAGAGTGGCGGAGATACCACCGGCTTATTACCCGGTATAGCTTATATATGTCCTTTTAAGGTTTTCTCAAAATTATTGCAGGTGCAGCTTATAGTATGGTGCGCTCTATAGTCCGAAAAATAGGGTATATAAATTTCAGTTGTCCTGTGCTTACAGTTTTTGTCAGCTACTGACCAGAACAAAAAAACTTGTTAAAATGGTGTTGTATAAATAGACTGAACAATTTGATAAAGACAATAATTTCTGACCTGTTTTTGCTCTCCAACTCTGCAATGAGCTGCCTCTGTTGTTTGTTGGCATCCAGAGAGTAGGGAAGGTCTATGGGGACCCTTTGCTGTTGAACCTGCAAGTGAAATCAAGGAAGAGATGCCACAGGAGGCAGCTTTTACATGGGTGATGTCATCTTTTGACTTATGTCATATTTTAGACAAGACTGTAAAGCGTTAAGACATCAGCAATACATCAAATCTACTCTAGTTTACTATAAAATGACCACCATGTCAGAAGAGAAGACTGAAAAATGGAGTAGCAGTATATGTTAACCCTTTTGTGTCATCAAGGATATTTTTTTTGTGCCAGACAGCAATTAAACATGCTCTAATATTTACTTGCAATAAACATCATCTGTACTGCATATCTCACCGCAGCATCAGCAGCCAGTCTAGCAGCGTAGCGAGCAATGAGACTGTGCTCCTCATCTTGATGGTTACTGCTTTCCAGCAAACTGCTCAAGAGGAAAATAGAGAATCACAACATGACACAATTAATACTGCGGAGCTCTGTGCAGAAAAACATGCAGAAGAAACAGGGAAGAGGATTGCTTCACTTTACAGAGTCTGATTAGGTTGTTAGGCCAGCTCCACGCAGTCCACACATTGATTTAAGGCGTTCAAAGACATGAAAAAGTAAGTATTTGAAGTATTATTTAAAAGTGCAGATGAGAACCTCAATTGCTTTGTGTTAGATGTTCCCCAGAGCAGAAAATGTGATTTAACATTCACACATCCACATAGAAATACTTACACATTTGCAAAAGTATTAATATTTTTATGCATTTTGTCATATTGCAACCACAAACTGTAAAATGTGTTACATTATATGAGGTAGTATCTCCTAACTGTTGAATGAAAGGGAGAAAATGATACATGCTCTTCAACATTATTTAACAAATACAAATCTGAGAAGTGTGATGTGCATTTATACTCATCCCCTCTAATATATTATGTAGCAAAACCACCTTTTGCTGCAATTACAGTTATAAGTCTTTTAGAGTACTGGTATGTATTTGGTGTTCATAAATATTGCTTCACTCCTGTTGAAGACAAGTATAACTGCAGTATGATCCTGCCACCACCGTCTGGATGCTGTGATATAGAGTGATATCTTAAATAGAATTATATAGAAGGAAAAAGTAAATATTTCTCAGAGCAGCAATTTCCTTCCACATATTTGTGATATTCAAAAAATTAAGTGGCAGATTTTGAATGTGAATTTTGGTAATTGTCTTCCAGCAGTGGCTTTTGTTGCCCCTCTCCAACAGAGTACAGGGGATTTGTAAATCTGGGCTAACATTTATCATGTCAACATATTCTTCCACCTAAGCTGTTTCTGCACTTCTTAACAGTTACGATGGGCCTCTTGAATGCTTCCTTGACTCATGTTTTGCTTGCGCAGCCTCCTGCTATAGTTAGAAAACAATGTCAAGGCAGCCTGCAGTTGTGGCGCCTTTTCAGCGACGGACTGAACAGTATCAAAACTCTACTTTATGTCTCCAGAATGTCAATATGTTATATGCTGGGACTTGTAACACATTTAGACTCCATACGTTCAGATTTTTATTTAAAAAAAAATAAAAATAAAATAAAATAAAAATTTGAAAAATCACGATGCTTATTCTGTCACTTCACAGGCGTGCCCTACTTTCTGTTAATTTATCGCAACAGCTTTATGTTTTATTTGGCTAAATGTGGTATGGATTCTTTGAACAGCTCTGTACAGGCTATATATAAAACACTATGACATAAATAAGGTATCATACCAGAGAGAATATTTACAGAGTTACAATAAAAAACAGCTTGCACGTAACTGTTATATAACAAATGCTTTAGTGACAAGACATTCTCCCCATCAAACTCACCAAAGTTATTTATATGCTTTCTTGATCAATTGTCTTTGGTAGGCAATTGAATATGTAGTTAGTTTGATGTGTTTGTTTTCTATTCACAAACTTAATTCTGTAACAACTAATAAACCAGAAAGTTTGTGAAATGGAACATTTGTGTGTAGTCATGTTTTGGCTCACTGATGACATAAAACATAAATTTCAAACTGCTTGACATCATGCGTTGATAGGACTGTAACACACTCAGAAGCACTTCAGGTTAAAAGCAAAGGCCATGAGGTGAGAGTTCAGCAGGACAACACTTTGTCCAACGACTAACCATAATTTGGGGCTGTTTTGGAGCAGATTCACATAGAGGGCAATGAGAACATGCTCGTCAGCAAGTCTATCAGCAACGTCGAGGTTGTACTTTAACCTAGAACAGTACAGGGTTTCACAAAACACAAAACATTAAGTTACACAGGTGACAACAAGAGGGTGATTGTGGAGAGGGGTGTGGGTTGAAGGGCTGGAGGAAACTAAGGCAGAAAAGCACACAACAAAGGAGAGGAGGAGAGTGGCTGAAAAACAACTATTCATGGATGACTAGAGATAAACAAGGTCAGATTATATTTGGGAGAGCCACTACTAATGGAGGCTAGAAGCACAATTAAAAACATGCCTGGTAACAACAAAAAAGTCTAAAAGCTGACCTGCTTGCAGTGAAAAAATAAGACTATATATTGGTGAAATATGTCAAACATGCAGCCTTTTGATTTAGCTACTGAACCTAGCTGATTTATTTTTTGTTAAACCTGTTTTATGAGCTACTAGATGCAAGCTCTATAAGGTCCCATTAGGAAGTTAGTCTTTTCAGATAACTATTTTCTAGTAAATATTTTCCTAAACTCTTTTTCTATATTGTTTTTGTGCAGTGATTAGAAATACATAAAACCACAGGTATTGAAGTAAATATCTGGGTTTCTCCTCTAACCACCATGACATTCTCCTTGTTGGAAACATTTACATCGGCCAAACAGTGGCCAACGTAACATCAGTGGAATCACACACGTTTTATGATGATCCCTAACTCTTATGGTAAAAAATAAATCTTATTCAAATGACTGCAAAAATACTGTAGCTCAAAGCATCTCTTATGTAGATGATTTTATTTCAACGGCCAATATCAGAAATTCAAGAAAGTTTGTAAAATGCTCACATATACATACATAGATACGTACACTATGACCAATGCTTGGGGTAAAGGTCTTCAACATTACACTGAGCTAAAATGATATTTTCTACTGATGATCTTTAGATTGTAAAACCATTTAACAATGACCCTAAAGGGGTGAAGACAATGAGTTTTGGAAATTAATGCCTTCTTGTCTGTTCCAGCTTATAATATATCAGTGAAAGTGTCACTGGTGTCTCTGTGTCAAATAATGAGAACATCAACAGACTGTGGATAACTTAACTGCACAACAAAGAGGTAATTCAGACATTTGATTCAGATATGTTAGAACACGGACACATTTAAAAGTTGCAGAACACCAACACTTGAGACCTGGGAACTGACAAACTGTTCGCCAGTTCCCATCAGAATTTCCTGTGAAGTAAATTAAGTCATGTTTATTTGTCTATGTTATATCGTCTGCATGAGGTATTAAAAAAAATTTTTTTGTCATTGGTTGTGTAATGTGATGTGGCTAAATGTTTCCCAAAGTCTACATCTGGCTGCTTAATCAGCTTTTGATGTGTCCTGGAAGCCGTTATCTCCACTAGGCATGTGTGCTGACTCAGACAAAGAAGAGAAACACAGAGAGAACGGCAAAATCAAATGGGGAGAAAAGCTTGGGCTTAACCTGAAAAGATTCAGTTCTACCCCATTGATGGTTTGCTTCTGAATCAAATGAAAGGACTCTCCTAGACATCCAAAAAAACATGGGCCACCGACTCCTTCTACAAGCCACTGCAGAGAGAATGACTGTTCTGAGCAGAAAAGCCGATTTCTGTCCAGTGAAGAGAAAGTTGGAAACAAATAATGTCTTCTGAGCCAATATTTGAACCTAACATTTCTTATTCCATTTATATAATATTTGAAACGTTCCCTTCACATTTGGAAAACTTTTCCATTACAGTAGCATTTGTGGCTTTGCTCTTTTTAAAAATCATTGGTGAAAATTAGTGTTAGCGTAATCAATTACGTTTCGATATTTTGTGCATTGTGAAATTATGTGACTTGGAAACTTGAATATTACTTTGTTCTTTTACTTTATTGTCTTTTATTGTTTATCTTTAACTGGACCTAAACAAAATTGAGAATTAGTTTTACTTTAAGATTAAGAAAAACTGGACTTCATCTACAGAATGCCTTTATTGGATGTTGTAATAGTAACACCATGTCTCAATATCCACAACATATCACTCCTGTTAAAAGTTGAAACTTGCCAAAGTACCATAAATCTCATGCTGGGGAGTCACTGAACTCATTTCCTTTGGCTCAGTGTTAAGAAGCAAAGGCTTAAATTGTAAGCAGCATTGTTAAAAGGTCTAACTGTTTACTCACTTTTATAAAATCAAGCAAATGTGCCAACTATCCAAATTTTTTAAAATATTATTTGTCTTTAGTAAAGGTTTTTATAAGTTTGATTATTTATTTTTCTTCTCGTAGTATTCTCGTGGAGTATCTTAGTGTTAAGTATCAGTATGTCTGCACATTATAACCTATGCAGTCAAATTTTCTGCTCTGCTAATAACCCAAGCAATACAACTCACTCACTCAACACTTTATCTTTGTGCTTTTAGGGCTGAGCTATGGAAGGTAAAATAATTCATTTTACATGCAGGTTCAGAGGAGCTCAAATTGTGTATAATTTAAAAAGAAACCATATTTTTTTTTAATCTTTCAAAGCAACTGACTATGCAAGTTGCAACATCAACATATTAAGAGGTAGCACTTAGTATTTCTTATTCCTGTGTGAATGCAGTGGGCTGATGGAAAATGATTTTCATGAAACACACTCTTGAGAACAATTGAGTAAACCCTTCTGTGTTAAATGAACTGACACTGTTTTGCTGACAGAGACGCTAGACTATGTCCTACATTTATACTCTATATTAGTTTGCACATGCATCTGCAGCAGAAAGGCCTACGTCACTTACCCTTTCCCTTTTAACAGCTGTGGAGCAACCCCAAACCAAGACTTTTTTTGGCCAGCATCATTATTCTGGCTGTAAGGCAAAGCCATTTACATTCAGCTTTAGGACCCACAACAAATGGATATACACAGTGTTTGTACACACAAACACACACACAGTGTGGCAAATAAAAGGAATGGACACAAAAGATTGTGTGGGTCACAGGGCCTTTAGGGAACGGGGCACACTGAAAAGATCTGTTGTAAAATCCAGGACAACCATTGTTGGCGGGATCGTACTCACTTTTTGGTGGAGTAAGGGTTCCCTGATGTAGGCATGGAGTGGGACAGTGAGTAGTCGTTGGTTATATTTACTGGTCTTGGTGGCCTGCGTGAGAAATGAAAATGATTTCTAATACAGTCACCAAAAAGCAAACAGCAAATGATTGTTAGATCTTTTAAAGAATCCTGTTTAAGTCTTGTAGATTTCCTTTCAACTTTATTTCTCTGATTTCCATTTCTATGCATGTATAGAAACAAGACAACAAATATGATTAGTTATGTGTCATGCATGAGAGGCATCAGCTGGCACAAATCTGCAAATGTGAGTGTCAGTGAATGACCTGATAGATAATGAGTGTGACGGTCAAAGGGAAAATGTAAATAACACAAACTCACCATGTGTCACTAGTTTGAAGAAAGTAAAGAGCAGAGAAAAGAACAATTTATTACAATCTGATCAGGTCAACAAAACAAGATTGAAGTTCTTGTCGTGGCTCAATGCAGAAACTTTTGCATTGAAGTTTTGACACGGGACGTCACATTTGGTAAGAATTGGAACCAGTTTGGTGACGAATGCCAAACGGGATTCCTGCCCCCAGCTTTTAGCAGATTGGATCTGTTTGTTGCAGAAAGTTTAATTTGAGGCATTGCACTTTGGTTATAGTTTACATATAAATAAATAAATCTGGGTGGATTTTTCCCAAGATGCTGTGAAATACTTAATTTAAATGTGGGCAAAATGCATCAGCTCACAGAGCAAGCACTTGGTCAGAATCACTATTACAAATGTGACCCTTGTCTGAAATGTAAGAATTAGGAAGATATACATTTGTATGTGTAAAACATGTAAAGATAAATCAGACAGCCTTGAATGCTTATAATTGTTTTGTCTATTGTCTACTTTTCAGAGGTTGTGCAACATTTTGATGAGAAAAATCTTAAAGGTTCTGACTGTGGTGAGGCCTTTTACTATCGGCCTTCTATTATTGTGCTACCAGGTTGACTAGTCAGGTAAAAAGGTGGAAACTGTGTTACAGACTAGAGCAATTAAACTGTGTCGATTAAATGACCCTGGAGATTGTCTAGATTCGCATTAGACTTTAAGGCACCTAAAGGATCATTATCAGTTAAGGGATAAAAATCAAACTGAAGTTGAAGAATGGGGAGCTCTCTGGCGTTGATCCAATTTTAGAATTACAAGTGAATATTGTTAAAAAAAAAACAACAAGAACAAAAAAAATAAATAAACAGGAAATAAACTTACACAACATGAGCTAGGTTGAGAGGTTTCTCTGGCGTATCGGGGAACATGGGGTGCAGGGGCTCTCTGCTGGAGGCACAGCTCAGTGACTTACTGAGGACATGGGTTAACTTCTTAGCTGGGGATTTCTAGTAGAAAAACAGGTACCTTTTCAAAAACATGACATGAGTAGGATGATATTGTCACCTGCCTCCTTGCAAAGACGTGAAACAGAACAAAAATAGCCTCACTGAATGGTTCAATGCAGACACACCTTCTGTAGTTAGTTCCCTCCCTCCCGCCTCCTCTTTCCTTTCCTTACCCATGACGTATACTCCTTCATTTGGTGCTGGTTGCTATGGGAGCCGCTGGCATGCCCCCTCCAGAAGCAGTCCTGACAGAGCTGGTAATTATGACATTGCTGGCAGCGGTAGCGGAAGCCCATCATACTCTCAGTATGGCAGTAGGAGCACTCGACCGGGTGAAACACTGCAGGGAGGAGAGGAGGAGCCAGACCCACAAAACCATGACAAAACACGCACACAGACACCCACAAACAAACACACACAAAAGATGCGATAATAATTTAGATATTTTGCACACTGCACATAAAATAGGATTATTTTTTATTAATTTCATTAGAAATGCATGAAGACACTGAGCAAGCTTTGTTGAATCCGCTCAGTTTAAGCAATTACACACATGACACTGTGTGTATGCGTGTTTGCCCATGACAAAGTGTTTCTTCTGTTCACATGGAGGTTGCTTGTGATGATGACGCCATCGCAGATAAACACAAACATTCTTACTCATACAGTGCATGTAATGTCCCTACTGTGTGAGCTTCACGGCGTGTTTGCTTGACTAATTACTCGACTATGATGCAAAGCTGAACTTTAAATCTTCCCAGGCCTAAGAGCTTCCCAGCTACATTGCCGGAACATTTCTTACCATTCTCAACGTTGGCAAGCCGATGCATGAGAGGTAGCCACACCAAACACTGAGGGGGCGGGTCTGACATCAGCGTATCAAGGAATGTGTTGAGGGAGACCTTTTTCTGTTGACGTTCAGTGCAAAGGAGAGCAAAGGAATTATCTACAGTGTGTCAATGCTGAGACAGTGCCTTGCAGCAACACTCACAAGTCTTCAACTTTTCAAATTTGCCATATTACAACTAGATGTCTTTTTGCAGGCATTTAATGTGACAGACCAACATAGATTAGACCATAATTACAAAGTTCAACAAAAAGGATAAATGTTTTTTCATTTAATTATTCTCTTTTCCTCTTGGAACTCTGACGGGGTTGAGTGCATTTGTATACAGCCCTTTTTACAATGATAGCACGACATGAAATCTAACACAAAACGTTAAACTGAGAAAAGACCAATAATCAGAGAAGCAAACAAGAGCTCCATGGCTGGTTACAAATGCATGCATCAAACTCCAGATGTTTCTTTGTAAAAAAATATTTGAAAGGCACATATCATTTTCCTTCTGCTAAATTTTCCTCTAATTTGTCAGTTACATAAAATATCAAATACATTGACAAAATCTGCAAACATTCTGTGGGCATGAATGTTTCCAAGAAACAGTACATTAAGTGATGTACATTAAGTGACACATCGTTTCTTGTACATCACTTACTGCCAGCAGGTTTCACCCTTACCTGCTGAGTGAAACATGCTCGTGCAGCTTGCTCAGTGTAGCCAAAAGAAGGTCCCTCAAACACAGCCATGGGCAATTTGAGAACCTCTCGCAAAAATTGGTCAAACTGCGAGTGCACCATTATTCCAGCAGAATCCGATATCTGCGAAAATATATCTGGAAACAGTGAGGGGAAAACAGAATATTAATTAATTCAACTAATTGTCAGTTGCCGCTGCAGTTGGCCAATTACAGTATCATACAATACAATTATCCCACTTGGTTCTGTAAACAAATCAAAGTAAAGCAGTTATAATGATACACCCACCCCCCTCATTTTCTCTTACAAGCTGCAACTCCCACAGATTTTGTGCATTATGTAATAAAGCCTAAGATATGACAAAATGAATAATGACTTCTGTTGAACACACGGAGAAGGAAAGTAATGCGAAAACTACACACTAAACAGACAGAGATGTAGAAAGTGCAACTAGGAAAAAAACTTGCATTAATAATTCTCAAACAGCACATTACTGACACCGTGAACTATTTATAAATTCATTATGTTAATTTATTACTGGAGAAATGGATGATTATAATATAATTTTTCACAATTACAAGTACTATGATTTTCTTACATCTCAATTTATCCAGAATTTTCCCTCCGCAGATTGAGGCAAGCGCCATCTTCACAACAAAAACAGATATTTTGCCATGGCCTTCCCTAAAATAAACATAAAATACAAAAATTAAATCATAATACTTTCATCATATGAAGTGACAAACTAGAGTAAAATTTGGAGAACAATTTCCGATGCACTTCATTTGCTGAAGTCAGAAATCTTGAATTCGAAATTGTACTTTGACTGCTGGACTGTGACGTGACATGTTACTCACGGGTCGTAGGCTGCCAGCAGGAAGTTGAGTAGCAGGCCGACGGACTGCTCTACATTGATTTGGTGAGTGGTTGGCATTCGCTTGTTAAGTTGGAAGAACAAGGTGGAAAGTACCACTTCCAGACGAGCCACAGCCAGCTCAGAATTGAGATCCATGGTGTTCAGACCATTTTCTCGGAAAGCCTCAATGACGTTCCAAATGTCAACCAAATGCACTGGAAACAGAACCATTAGGTAAGAGCTGTATTTGTTGGCAGCGTTTCACCTGTTTGTCATGTAAACCTCACCTTATTTAATATAAGGTGATGTTAAATGTGTTTTACATCAGACTCACGGTTGCATTTCTTCTGCACAAATCGGAGTTTGCAGGCTGTTCTGTACGTTGATAATCTTATTGAATCCAAATCCTGTGCCCCTGAAAAAGAGATGGTTTTATTTTTACAATGAAATTATAATTGAATTCATAATTCAGTGAGTTGAAGCTTCTCTGTGTGTGAATCATAATCGGGCCAAAAACTTGGTTCTACTTGTTCAAACAGTTTAATTCATTGTTCTTAAGATGCATTACATAATGATAAAAAAAAAAAAGATCCTTTCAAGCTCACTTCAGGTAAAGTCCTGCAAGCTGATCTGCTATTCATTAATCAAACAAACATGCATCTGAAAACTGAAATCCAGCAGATGTAAGCAATATCAAGCATCAGGTCATAAACGTCCTCTTCTCACTTACAAACCCAAGTGGGATCTGTACATGTAATTTAAGACCAGAAGGAGGACTAAATTCTGGTTTGCATGGCATGCATTTAGCTTTGGGTATATATTAGCATTATGTAATCTAATATTTAATAATTTCCTAAAACTTTTTAAGTTGTAGTATGTTAATTTAATGAAATGATTGTAAAAGTTGTTATTTAGTTTGAGAATTAGAAGAAGAAACAACCTCTGGTTTGTACACATTTAACATGTTTTGTAAATTTGCTCTCAGTTTTTACTTCGGATTAGAGAAACTAGCAATTTTATGCTCTGGGGAATAGTAATTTACAAAATATTTTTAAAATAATTTATAAGGGTGTTGTTGGGCTCATTTTATAACTAATGCAAACGGTAGCTACTACTTTTTAATGCAGACATGCTTTCTTCTTGATGTTCAGCACTTATTGTAAAAATGAACTTTCAATACCTCTATTGAGTGAAATGACCTGATTAGATCACTGAAATGATGACCAAATATAGTTCATGGATGCATGCAATGCTACAACGAACCTTTAAAAAGATGTCAAAAACACATATCCTAAAATAATGAGCTCTATTTCAGTCAGTTCAACTGTACACACCATAATTATCTACATTACATTTGCAGCAACTAGATCAGTCTGGTTGACATCAGCAACAACTTTTGATCTTCATGATATCTGTCTTTACTCAAAACATATAAGGAAAAAAAATGCTGTTTTTATGATCAGAGCATAACACAGTCCACCATCCATCACAATGAACTGTAGCCCTGCGCACTTACTCATCTCGACATACAGCTGCCTTCTGTCTGCCATGTTGTCACCCCTCCGCCCGCAATCTTCAATCATTCTGCTCAAAGGAAGAGAAAGTAATGCCAGAGTCATTACATTTTCAGCTTTACAGTATTTGACTAAACAGTTGAACACTGAACAACCCTGATAATTTATTCACCATGGCACCTGTCTATGGGTGAGAAACATTAGGCAGCAATTGAACATTGTGTCTGTCATGAAGAGCAGTTATGAAAGTGGTGAGGCAGACGCATTGGACCCACGTTGTAGAGAATTAATGGTGATTCAATGGTGAAAATACAGTTCCAAAGTCCAAAATCCAGGCAGCACAGAATGAGCAGAACGGTATTAGCTCAAAAACTGGTAGCAACTGGTAAAAATCACATTGACTACAGACTAGACTGCAGACAAGGACCCAACAAAGAAGAACAAACACAGGTGGGTTTAAATACACAGGGACAATCAGGAGAAACAAGGGACAGCTGGGGACAATCAAGGGGTGCGCAGGACAACGTGAAGACCCAATTAAGTGAAAACAACACCTTTTTTTTTTTTTTTCTTTTTTCTTTCTTTCTGTAGGGGCATATGGGGAGGATGGGGAAGGGTTACGTATATGTGTTCTGAAAAAAAATTATAAAAACTTTAATAATAAAAAAAGAAAACAACACAAAAACCTAACTTAACACAGAGAAAAAACCAAAACCTTACAGTGACCTCAAGCAAGCTGACGTGTTAAAAGGGTCTAAATGTGGGCAAGCACAAGGATTTAAAAAAAGGAAGCATGGGCTAAGATGTGGTAGCAAGCTGACCGAGTCATTGCGTCTTCAAAAATTGCAACTTTTGTGAGGCGTTCACAGTGTGCAGTGAACATTATTAGTTACAACTGATCAAAGGAAGAAATGATCATGAAAGAACAACAGACAACAGGGTCATGGCGGTCAATGCTCATTTATGGCCTAAGGGAGTGAAGGCCTGCTCATGTGATCTGATCCAACAGATGAACTCATGAAAATGAAACTGCTCAAATAGTTAATGATGCTTTAGAAAGGTAGATGTCAGAATGCACAGTATTTTGCAGTTTGTTGCATGCAGGGCTGCACACTAGTCAGGGCGCATATGTCGGTCAAAATGATATTCCTGCTTGAGTGAGTTATTTGACTGAGAGATATTGTTATTCACAATAGCAGATTCAATATTTACTCAACAAATAAATAAGATGGTGGCAATTCACTATTCAAAATGTCAAGTGGAAACGGATAACATTAAGCTTCTTTAATTTTAGACAAAGAAAAGTAGCGTTTTACTATTAACCGTCAACTGGTAGATTTCAATACAGATGAAGAATCACATTGTGAAAAGCCTGGATCCTGTTTGGAAATGTTGTGATTCACAGAATCATTCACAGAAAGGTTCTGACACCTTTCTATTATAACCAGCATTAGGTTGAGCTACAGTAGCTCATTTATTGGACAATACCACATGGCCAAGCCTTCAATCCCCACATGCATCAGTGAACTTTAGCCACAAGACTGTCTGTTCACCATTGACTAGTGACACTGCAGGTTGGGGATTCTCCACTGTAGTTGCATTTGTAACCTAGTATTCATACCAATAGAACCTGACCTTTGTTAAATGGTTGCAAATTCTTAACTTTCCTTATTTTCTTCTTATTCAAACACACAAACTTCAAGAACAAAATATTCACTTGCTGTCAAAAATGTGCAACGTAATGACGGTTACAATGAGAAGTCATTGATGTTTTGTTCTTTAAACTGCGCTTGATTAATGTTCTATGACAGAGTTGAATCAATTGAACTAAAAATCAGCACAATAAGCAAATATCCAAGATCTTCTGACACATACCTGGCATATCTACTATCAATCCCAGACCATTATTATTAATAGTCTTTGACCCAACAGCTAGCTGGAGTGCTAATATCAAAGCCCACCGGGTAAAAGTCCAGAAAACATAATTTTCTAAGAGTTTTTTTTTTTTTTTGGGGGGGGGTCATCTGTTAAAATGAACAGTTTTGGATTCTTAATAATATATGCGCTTTTTTTTCTTCTTTTTTTACACAATTAAACTACACAAATGCTCTTGACACATTTTTAGTTTTGCCAGGAGTTGTTGTATACAACTTCTGTTTAAAGGGGTTGAAGTAGTTCGACAGCTCCATCTGCTCCACAGTCCTACAGTAAGGAAACAGATCTTACAGTCTGACCCTCACAAGCATTTTAAGGATATCTGCTGCTGAAATATGTCTCACAACAATGGCGGTCAGACGTGATTAAAAGTTAGACAGGAACAAGGTTTTGAAAAGGAGCAGAGCTGCAGAGAGAGCGCTCACACCAAGGCTCATTGCACACTGTCCGAGGCAATCTAATACACCTAGTCATGTGGTTTGCTGCCATGGCAGCAAAGATCCCAGTTGCTCTGTACATAAACACACACTCGCACACGCATAACACCTCCCACAGCACACACACAAAAAAGTTTTCTGAAAAAAGTTTTTCAATGTCTTTTGTATAAAATCGTTAAGCAAGCTGAGAGCACAGTTGCTCTTTTATTGGACTAGTAAGTTGAAGAGACACTTTTTCAGCGAGACAATCTGTCAGGTTTGCTGTTTTAAATGAATTTAACAGACTCTGGTAAGCGTACATATTGTACTGTGAAGACTCACAGAAATCAGAAAATGGTCTCACTCATCAATAACTTTCAGTAAAAATAGCATTACTTCAAGGCGTCATGGTATTGAAGCAAAAGCTTTTATCATGATCCAATGGCAATACGCAGACAATGGCAGTACTGTCATCAAAAATATTGCAAGCTTTTAACACAATGACAGGATCAAATAAATAATAAACATTACTTGTTAATTTTGCTATTTGTACATTACCAGGGGGAGTCTGGCAAACAAACTATTGGTGTGTTAGTTAGTCAAGCTATTTGCTGACGTAGCAAGTTCACTGTCAACTGCTTGAGAATTTTGCTACTTTGAAGTTGCAAAGATTTTTTAAACACTTAAAAAATCCCCCACCCTTTTTTCAAGGAAGGAAAAACTTAAAGGGTTTTCTTTCATCCAGTGGACCAACAGTTTATATTAACTTGAAGGGGGGAGGATTGTGTTATTAGGCATTACACTCTGCCACTCTCGGCTTGAGTTTTTGTTTTCTTTGGATAAAATGGAGTTCGATACAGGTCTAAATAGTTTAGACACATTTCTAAAAGTGTACTTCACAGCCCTGGTGAAAATGCCATGTTTCTGTGATGTAAGCTAAATTATTTTTGACACCTTCTACTGTCTGTGATGTGACATTTATCTCGCACAATCTTACAGATGAACATTAATATCCTTTTTCCGCATCATATATTGAGCGCCAGTTTTGGGACCTCCTGTCATTTGCTTTCAGCCTTGGAAATATCTGAGATAGATACAATCTACTGGTAGAGAAGATATAAAAACCAGCACAGAAAACACAATTTGTTTATCAGTGAGAGGGAAGATAACCAGCATAGCTTTCACAAGACACTGTGGCCATTTTTCTTTATCTGTCCAAAGTGTGATTATAACAAACCCAAGTCTTCCTACTTCCAATAGCTGTCCATAATATGAGCAAGCAGCACAATACAACCTTGACTGCGTGGACGGGCCTAGCTGAAGATATCTGAAATTAGACGCAGTATATATATACAGCATGTGCCATCTCTATCTTTAAATACAAATGAGAAGACCTCGCATTCTTGAACAGCTTTTCCGGCTCTCTAGTTGCACAGTGCAATCCTTATTCCTGGCATCTGCCCAGCAAACATTACTCTTTCGCTATGGCACTGTCATTCTGTCACTATTTGAAAATAAGTGTCTTTAAAAATGAGTTGTCTCATGCCATTATGAAAGCAAGGAGGGGCATATAGGGTTGCACTGCCAGACAGTCTCAGGGGAATGACTTGTGCTATTTTTTAATGGTGCACAATATTTGTCATGGGCAAATGTCAAGGCAACAACAAAAATAAAGATTTTTTAGTCTTTGTTTATTTTTGTGTCTCTGCTGCCATTTGGTGAAACACTGCAGATAGAACCAATGAGTTGTGTCCTCTTTGGTGAACTTTGGAACCTCCAGCAATGGAGCATTTTTAAAAGGCATTTATCATTGTATTTTGGTCAAAAAAACTAAACAACCTAAAAATAAGTTCTGAAACATAAATAAATTGCAACAGACATTTCTATTGGCTTTCCAAGCAGATGACTAACATTAACAGCAAAAAGACTCCTTTGAATCATGTGGTGTGGAACAGAAAACCCCACCATACATGGATCACACAGATTGGTGGCATAAGTCAAATGCATTTGTGGCGGCTCAAAGGTTGAGAAGGATGAAAAATATACAGAACTTTTTAGATACACAGATATTTACAGATATGGGTGAGCTGCATTGAAATATATAAGTATCAATCATAAACAATCTTTATTGAAACCACCTTTTTGCCTCTCCATAGTTAAACAACTAGAATTTCAGAGCCAAAAAAGAGCACCACAAGTGTTTGTGGATTAGGATTGTTGGTTAAGAGCATACATTTTATCAGTAACAAAAAACTTTTTTTTACAGATAATTAGCTGTATCAGAATTTTTTCTCTGTCTGAGCCAAATAAAGAAGAAATCACTTGATTGCTCTGAGTATTTAAGCTTCTATTTAAACGAGTATTAACTCGTGCCCAGCAACATCTTGATCTGTGGAAACTAACTGTGGAGGGAGTTATGGAAATTTAATTAGCACACTGCAGTTAAATGCTCATGAATACAGCATAGACTGATAATGTGGAGAAAGGTGAGAATTGCACAACCATTGCATGGCTATCTAAGATAAACAAACAAAAAACAAACAAAAAAAGCTATGGGGACACATAATTGGAGCATACGTTTCAACATCTACCTTGATGTTGCCCCAATTTTATCATTTGAATTACAATTTTTGTCACTAGAGACCATCACTAAGACTTTCTGGGCTCACCACAAAGTGTTCATAAATCTCTCTGTAAGATACCGGTTTGCTAAGTCCCCAAAACACTGCACTTAGACAACATTTCTAAAGTCATTATCATCCTCACCAGATTCATTTGAGCAAAGATCATCAGTTTATGATTGATATAATTATTATTAGTATTATTATTATTTTGCATATTTCTCAATTTTAGACAAAGAAATCAATGCAAGCATTGTGAACTACAATTCTGGGACAACTTGTAAAAAAAATAAAATAAAAATGTTGCAAAGCCTTTGAACACAAAAGTTACAATCCAGTCTGTCGGTCTCCAGACACTATGGCAGCTGTTACCACTGAGTGAGCAGAGTTATTTTTACATCACGAGACCATAAACTATTCCAGCATTCAAATCCTACCCCCCTGACAGGAATAAAAAAGCTGCAATGGGGACTTAAGGTTAATTAGCTCTTGTGCTCTGGTGCTGTAGAAAAAGGCTGTTTAGCTGAAGAGCCACGCTTTCTCTGCAGGCTGGGTAACAGGCAGTGATGGAGCCGTGATGGAGGTGTCGTCTCCCTATAATCACCATGGTTTCAGTTGCAAAAGGGCAAAAACTTTAAGACTCAAAGGGCAGATACAAATTTATGGCTGCTGAGGCTGTAATTCAGTTCACTAGAGTTCTTTGCTTGAATAAAAAGCAGAATGGTTAAACATGTGTATTCTTGCCCAACTATGTGATATGATACATTTAAATTTGCATTTCAATCACAAGCTTCAAAGGAGAGTCACTCCTGTGAATAGACTGAGAGGCATGTTGTGTTGCGTTTTTGTAAAATTATCACTAAAATCCATTGCAATGCATGCAACATGTACCTGGACAGGGGGAATGGCAACAGGCACCTTACAAAACATGCTCTACTGAAGCATCACCTGTCTCTGCTACAGAGTAATCTGAGCGGTCTTGATGCCGACAGAAAAATAAATAAGTAAATAAAAATCTCACCTCTTTTGATCAGGTCAATCTCGTGTTTACTGCTCAAACTTGACAAACTAATAGTAACAAAGTGGGTTAAGGTCGCTTCTCTGTTTTGCAGCCTGCCTCCACCAGGAGAAGCAGCTGCAGCACCGCACTTTGCACAGAGACTCACCAGAATTTATTTCGAGGCATGTCCTGCACCGTGAATGCCGTCCACCCGGGGAAACCGTCTCGCCCTGCGGTGTGATCACGACTTCTTTGGCGTGGGGCGCTGCATCGCGGCGCGAAGTGGCCGTTGTTATCGCGCCGCACTCCTGCAAAGCTTGTGTTGTTGTGGAAATTTTCGTTGAAGCAGCGCTCTGGCTGAGCCGAGCAGAACAAGGCAGCCTCCGGTATGACGTAATGCGGAATCTCTTCACATGCGCCAGTGTGGCGGAACAGGGGTTAAAGATTGATGCAGACACAGAAAAAACAAAAACAAAAAACAACCCAAAAACACTGGCTCCAAAAGAGAAGAATTTTCTCACCACCGAACTGTATATTTATACGAGTCCAAATGAAATTAGTTTTCAGGTTAAGTTTTTTGTCTCGAGTAGATGACGTAATTTAGACAAGTAATACTGGGATATTGATTGAAGTCAATTAAGGGAAGTGTGAATATAAATGCAATTACAAAATGTTTTCTACTGAAAATATTGATGTTAAAACGAATAAACATTTAATATCTCGGCTAATGTTCACACTGTTTGCGAAAAGGAGTTCTATTTAAATGAAGCAATTTCCAATTGGGAATAATTAAAGTATATTCTATTCTATTCTAGTTGTTCTGAGACATTGTTTTCGACCTACAAAGCAAGATTGAGATTTAGAAGTGGAAAAAAATGTTGTATTCCTACCTTTTATACTTTTTTTTTTTTGTTGAAAATGTTGGAATTATGTGTGCCCCATCAACACAATAATGGGACGATGTGAAACTGTCCCTGTTAGGCAGCATCATCACCTCAGCATGATGCTTTACTTAAAAAGATGGAAAGAAGATGGAGGAGGGGGGGCGTTGTCATTGGGGGTTGATGAATGAGGGGATTAGGGGCTTGGACACAATATAGACTTGCTAATAGAGGAAACCATAAAAATAAAAAATAAAGCCTTAGATATCAGTTTCTCTCATATCTAAAATAATACTATTAAACACAATACAGCTAGAAGTGTGGTTGGGGGAGGGGGAAATAAGAAGTGAAGGCATATTGTGCCAAGCAAATTTATGTAGGGGTGGCCATTTCACCCTCCTGATCCGCCTTAGGTGGCGTCACTTTTTTTTTTGTATACAACTTCACTGTGAAACACCCAAGAAGCCACATGGGGGCTCTGAAGCCACAGGTTGTAGAGTCTACAATTCCTGCCATAAAGATGCATGTAAAGTGCAACAAAAACTGACATGCAATCAGGATCTTTAGTCAGGTTTGCATGTTATATTTCTATTTTAAACACACACATGCATCAGGTTTTACTGATTTTATCGTCTCCTTTTTTCTGCGCATATTTGACCTTATCGGTTATTAATATTAACAAAATACTCCTATTCAGCTCGTTGTAAAATACACCTGTGACGTTTCTCAGCGGCTCTTGAACGTCACTCATCCCCAACGAGCGCGTGCCCCCCGTTGTTAGAAGACTGACGGCAGCTTGGTTCGTTCGGCGCGAACCCTGTTGCGTGGAAACAACGAAGCATTTGAAAAACTTTTAAGCTGAGCGACAGTCGCACAACAAAACTGAGGTGGCAGCCAAAAGTTAGAGTAAGTTGATAGCGCGCATTTTGTCGCTGTCACTTTCTCCCATGACAACGACCCCCCTCAGCTCATTAATTTCTCATTAACTTGGTTAATTAAACGTCAACTTAACGTTAGCTGACAGAGCGACATCCCGAGATGAGTGAAGGTATGTTTGCCTCCCGTTTACCAACCCTGATATAAAGTTTAACCATGGGAGTTTAAACCCCTATGATTTAGTGCGAAAGAAGATCAATTTCGATGTATTTTAAGTTTATTTTTATTTTATCTCCAATTACGCTGGTTTTGACGATAGAAATGCCTTTGCTTTCCCTCAGGACCTTTAAGGACGTCTCGATAGTTCGTTATTGTTCAGCAAATATCCCTCCTGGAAGAGTTGCGACATGCAAGACCTTAAACCCCTCACATTACCGTCCACGGAAGGACTGGCCAGTCGACAAGGTAATCAGGGATGTTGGCGCCTAGTGGGACAGAATAGAAATACTTTGTTGTTCAACAGTGGGGTCACTCAGGGGTCACATCAGCAAGTTTAGGTAAGCGGGCGAACGCATATTCAAACAAAGACGAAACATAAAAAGAAGAATAAAAGTGTACAGTAAGGGCAGACTTTCAATCTGAGAAAAATATACTGTGTCGTCAAAGAATATGCAGATGATCATTTAGAGAGAAAAATGCACAAGATGTGCATGTATGGAAGTCTACAGCAAAACAACAACAAATACGCCAAAAATAAACAAACAAAAAAACAAGAAAGAATGACATGTGTACCGATTAAAACTAGGCTTAATTATTTTACACTGAGGATAAAACATTGATTTGTGGAACACAGTTTTGAAAACAATAAATTCAGATCATTACACTTTAGCCAAGTGTAATAAATTTTTTTCTTCACTGAATAAATTTAAAATAAAAGTTGATATCTGTAGAGGGATTGTTGCTGCATGAAAGACGAATTCATTCAAGGCTTTTAGCACATATTTGTTGTGGGAGTTTATGAGTGTGGTTGACTTTGTATTTCATTACACTGCCCACCATAACAGTGGGCATAATCTGACACTGAAAATAATTAGATTTGACTATAACTATTTAGTGTGGGAAAACAACCAAACTGAGAAAAAATCTGATTTGACTATAATAGCTATTCATAATTACTCCAAAATGTAACATAAATAGAAGATAAAAAAATATTTAGATAGCTGTTTCTTTTAAATGAGCTATTTTTTTTTTTTGTCCATTTGCAGTTTAAGGAGGTCTAAAACTGCTTAAAATTGTTAGGGTTCCTGTGTAGTGCTGCTAATGCTGGCTGTGGACAAAGATATTTCAAACGTATAACTAAATATATTGCTAATACAAGTAGTTTCCACTAGCTCATTTCAGTTTATTGGCTATTGGATTTAGAAGGAGTTTCATTTTGTGTGCATTATAACCCTGCCAGCATGATTTAGAGCAAACCTTGCCACATTCCTGCTCCACTTGGTTATTTCAGTGTGTATTTTTCACAAAAGCCATCCAGCAGGAAATGAGCTTTATTCTTGGTTTCCCTTTAATTCTTGTTGCACTGTGTTTTGTCAGAGGCTACTCACAAATTAAACACTTGGTCAGTTAAATGATTGTCAATGCTAAAAAGCTGTCAAGTATGAAATATTGCTGATCTTACCTGTTTTCCTAACGCTGTGAGCCCAGACACTTCTTGTGAAGTATCCTATTGGCATGACAATGAACCTGGAGCTGTAAATGTGCACATGAACCTGTTTTTCTCCCTCACATAGGAAAGACCTATTAAACAATTACAAAACTTGAAATAAAATTTGACATACTTAAAGTCATGGATACACTCTACCTGAGCCTGAGCTTGAGGTATTTAGCAAAGACGAATCTGGAAATACATTCAGTCTGTGATTTAAGAGAATTGTTCCAAGTGGCACTAAGTTCAACACTTTAAATTTGAAAACCATCTTGTATTTTTCTTTCCACTTGACAGTTATGCATTACTCTTCGTAGGTCTGATTCATAAACTTCCAATAAAATACATTATGGTTTGAAGATGCCATATCGTCACATGTAGAAAGACTTGTATTATAAATAGTTTTGGAAGGCACTAGAATTTTAAGTTTCTACAGAATACAGTGCTGCTAAAAAGTTTGTATTATTATGGAAAGAATATGTAAATAATATTTTAAATACAGCATTGTATCCACTTTCATCTAACAGTCATAAATGTAATTTCCCAGATGTAATTAGACTTTACTTGTAATTAACTTCCCAGAGAATCTGTAATGCATTCTCAGAGGGATTATGTATCATTCATTTTTGCATTTATGCGATAAAACGTAATCAAAATTTCTCATCTAAAAGAAAGCCAAGTATCACGAGAGATCCTTGTATCACACTTTGCAAACCATGGCAGTAGAGTAATTTTTGGTTCATTCAGTGTTGCTGAGTTGATTTTCAAAGGAAGGAGGAATTGATGGAAAGTTAATATCACAATACTTTCAATAGTCAAAATAAGACTATATTTTGCCGTTCTTGAAAAAAACAGGCATCAACAGGATCAATATCATTAAACCAACAAGGAAGTTAAAATCATAAAAAACAACTTTTCTGACCTATTTGAAATATTTATTTTAATTTTAAAATTAAAAACATCTTTTTCATCTGTGACAAGTGGTTCGAAATAGCAACATGTTCTTTGCTGACATTTTTTAAGGCTTCTTTTTAATGCATTGTTTACTTTTAAATTCAGGTTTGTGAACTCCAGTATTTGTGTCTTTCACAATCTTTCCGCCAGATGGCGCCCTTTTACCATGAAGAAATACGAGACGTGCCCTTGGGTTTGTCTTGAGACAGATTCTTTTTTTCCTTTTTCAGTTTAAAGGCTGTGCCACTAGTATCAGCTGGCAAATAGAAAAACAAAATATCTTTCACAGCCAAATACATTTCATTAATTACTTTGCACAATATCATTATGACAATTGTGTGCGTGTTTGCTCCAACTAAGGCCTGCTTGTTTCTATTTTTATTTCCATTAAAAGATTATTGCTTGTAATAGCTGTGAGTTCTGCTGCTATGTAAAGATAAGTGCTTCTTTTTTTGTAGTAACTACTTAAGGTACACAAGAAACAGAACTGATGGAATTAAATATCCTTGCATTTTGTCTGTCATTAGATCAAGCAGACCTTCAGATTGTCTGCACTGGTAGACGTCGGATTTGTGCTTTACTGAACACTCCCTCACCATGTGCCAGCAGTGCTATCTGCCATATCCAAGACATGAAGTGTCGATTAAAAAACTGGTTTCAGAAGGTAAAAAATACTCCATGATAAAGTGTGCATCATGTTGAAATAAAAAAAAAAACATTTTTATGATATAATCAGTAGAAAACATATTTTTTGCTGCTTTAATTTTTGACAGCCTAGAATAAGTCGACCAGAGGTTGATCCCCAAAACACAGAAATTATAAGGTGAAATATTTACTTGTTTTTAATTAACTTTTTTCCTCTACTGCATAAATTATTACATGGTATTGATGATTTTTTACAGACTTCAGAGCCTCTCTTTGAAAGTCTTAGAGACTCGTTCTACAGACTTGTATGTTGAAGGGGTAGC